ATAGAAAATTGCTAGTATATTTTTATTTACAAAAGAAATTCTACTGCATTTTACAATTTTTGTCATTACATTGAATATTTCCAGATACATCTTCGCCAGCCAAGGTTTGCTCATTCAGTCATCACTTCAATTTTACATAAAACACTGAGCATAATTATCTAGAATGGAAGCAAAAAAATAAGTAAATCGTAATGATGAGAACACTGTAAACAGCTATAGTAAACAATGCAAACTGATTTTAAATTGTATAACGGTCACCGGCCCACGGCATCGACGCAGAAAATTGGAGCAAAAAATATTTCCTGATCGATGTGTTCCAAATAAAAAATATTTTATTCCAGTCCAAATCAGCTCAATTACTTTAATAAAGAGTTATTGTATAATGTACAAAATGTTGATACAGTTTGATGAATATTTACAACTACGGCTTCAATACCGTAGACGATTTTGGCCTGATCGTCAACAAAACACCACCCGTCTTCAGGGCAAGCAACTGGAAAAAGACACCGGTGTTCGGTCGAACCGGTGAAAATAAAATTGTCACTCAGAATAACTAGACAAAATAACGATCTAAACTCGAACCATTCGAGACACAATATTAAAACACATTAACATAAAAATAACTTTCGTTGCATTTGACAATGATAAACTTACCGAAAAGCCGTGTTATTCTCGGTCGCTAACGTTGGTATAATCGGCCATTTTATTTGAGTGTATTTGCGACCTGACTCTGCCCGGTGACGTCATCATGTGCGCTATAGAAGGAGGTCTGTGATTCGTTGACTAAAATCTTCGATAGTGGATAGTGGGAACAGGCACGAGTTCAGTGAGTGGCCAGGTCACAACTTAGTGACTACTTCAGGCCTTGGGGAACTCACCTCATGGGGGAAGGGAGCACCCCCCCTCGCAATTGCCGAACACATGGCCACATATCCCTGTCATACACAGATTGCGCCGGTGTAGTCGGGTTTGGAGACAGCGGGTGACCGATCCCTGGACCTTTCCAGGTGGTGACATCCTGTTAAGGGATACCGCTGAAATCTCCATTTCCCCCCGTCAGTGTCTCCCCTGTTGGGCACTGCCAGGGGACTCAATCAGACCGGAAGTAGCAGTTTGCTGGGAAAAGGCGCCAGGGTACATCAGCTGGAACTAAGTCCAGGCTTTACCCAAATAAGTTCGTAGTACCAAATCTACAAGTGCCGGGCGCCTAGTTCTGGACCTAGGCAGACTGAATCAGTACGTGCTCCTCGATTGGTTCCACATGGAGACACCATTCAGGGTTCTCCTCTCCATCCACTAGACTTAAGCGGGGCCTACCGGCACATACCAATGCACCTAGCGAGTTGCCATCTCCTTCGAATTGCCCAGCTGGGTCAAGTATTCAAATTTTGGGTGCAAAGCTTGGCTTATCGAGTGTGTTGCTTAGCGCTAAGCAGCCTAGCCAAATGCCTAGTCAGCGTTCTCTCAGTGTCCCTCCGAGAACTAATACAGATCATCGGAATGATGACCTCAGTTCAAAGGGTTGCTCCCCAGGCTGCACTACGCAGCCGCCCGGTATAACACTTGTTATAACGCCGAGCTCTCCTATGGGAACTAGATAGGCGGGTTTCGTTCTCGGACCAAGTGAAGGAAGCCCTGCCCTAGTGGTCGTCACTGGCCAACCTCGGACAGGGGTGCCCCTTGGACCCGCTCGCCGCAGGTATGACTCCGCATTAGTTTCGGGACTACCATATCAACCGGCTCGAACTGAGAACAGCGTACTTAGCACTACCACGCTTTCTACCCGTAGTTCAAGACCACAGAGTCCTGCTCCGCACAGGCAACGCAGCGGTGGTCTCTTCAAGAAGGAAGGGGGACGCCTTCCCCATCGTGCCTCCTTTGGTGCCTGGAATACAATGTGGAGCTAACCGCACACCACCTTCCAGGGGTAAGGAACAGTCTGGCAAGGCCCTTTCAGGACTGCTCCGTCTCCGGAACACGGAGTGGCTGATACCCCAGTGGGTAGCCTCCAGGCTGTTTCGGGTGTGGGACGGTCCAAGGTTGGACCGGTTTGCTGCACCCTGGAACGCCAAGCTCCCGACGTACGTAACACTCCTGCTGACTCCAGGAGCCTGGGCCAGGGTCACTTTGCTAACCCCGTGGACCCACTTAGTTGTGTACGCCTTTCCTTCCTTCCTG